AATCACCTCATGAGATGAGCAATTCGTGATTCATCATTCAATTAGAATATTATAGTCTCACAACTATTAATAAGTATTTCATACTTATTAATTATTTATACTTTTTATTCTAGTTTATCCCTCACAACTAGATCATTTTAGTAACATGCACTCTTAAGCATTTCTAAAATAGTTACAAGAATATTACTTGAGTTACTTCGGTCATTTCTCAAATGAGCCAACAAAATCATTTATATTAATTAATCATACCTTGTATTTTGTTTACCTTAGTTTATTTCTCATAAACTAAATTCACTTTAATGGCTTGCATGATTAAATACTTGAATCCTTCAAGAATACCATCTTGAATTTCCTTGGTTAACTTCCAAATTAATCAGTCATGATTATCCTTCATCAAAAGTATTAATGATTCAATTACTCATTAATCATGCCATTTTCGCATAACTTATCATCAATACAGTTAATCACATGTTTAAACACTTTTAAACATTTCTTTACATATTCATACACTAGATTACTCTAGTTGTCTCATACATAGTTCATGTATGCATTGTTATACATTTGACCATAACATATTCATGGTTAATCAACAAATAAATCTTTTCTTCATTAACCATATAATATTTTCATAATTCATATTCACCATGACTAATCATGCATTTTAAACCATTTAATCATTTCTCAAATAATGACTATGATTTTATTTAGGTAATCCCACGTTTGATTCAAGAGTTACAAGACACGTAGTCGTCCACTCACCTTGAAATGACGCTAGCAAGCTTTTATCCTCTTTGTTTGAACTCCGGTGACTTTTGGAATTTTCCGGCGAAACTCCGGCGGCTCCGGTGACTTTTCCGGCCACTCCTAGATTCCTTGAGAAGTCTAGAATATTTTGGTAAAAGACCTAACAAGGTTTCATAAACCAAATATTGTATAAACATCAAAACCTTCCGAGAAGGTGTTTTCCGGTGAACCGGTCTTACTCCGGTCATAACTCCATTTATGATTAAACTTAACCCTCCGAACCCTCATTCTACACCTCTATAAGTGTAGAACAAGTTTAAGGGTCCATCATAAGATTTATAAAATCATATGAGATTAAATGGAGGATGAAAAATGTTAATGAGATCATTACCTTGATTAATCAAGGTTTTTCTCTTCTTTTCTCGCTCTTTCTTCTTCCTTGGACATCCCTATGTTTGAGCTCGGTTATGGTTATGAGGAATGAAGTTTTGCAGAGCTCTCCTTCCTTGGGGTGGCTTGGACAAAAAGTGAGGGGAGAGAAGGTGGAGAGACAAGTTTTGTCTCAAAAGCTAATGAGTAATGGAGAGGGTCCCTCTACCTTTCAAAATTTTCTAACCCATCTCTTCATCCATCATACACCACATGACCAGGCTCACCACTCTTATTATTAGACAAAAAAAACGTGGGGTGGCCCCCACCCATGTGGGAGGTCATCCCAATATGTCCCGGAGTGTACACTTGATCCCGAAAGTTGTATTTTCCTGACTGTTTTAATTATATTTTATTTTATCGGGTTAAGTAAAATATATATCATTCTTCCAATTAATATTGGCCTTTAAAATGAATATATATTACCCAACTTTAATTTAGTGGTCCCGGAATGTATTTCGGGCTGTTATCTGATTAATTGACTATACCGATAATGGGACCTCGTTTGATTGAAAGGCCAACTTTATGGCTCAACCTTAATTTACACCATCATATAAATATTATCTAAACCGAGATGAATATAATATGTGGTCCGTAAATGTCGGATGGTCCCCGCCCATATGTGGGCCCAACGTGCCTTTTACTGTTCAAGTAGCGGTAAAAATGAGAATAAGTTACTTTAAAAATTCATTCATCATTCCTAATGACTAAATATGTGTTTTCATATTTTGTGACACTTTAATAAAATGTCACACTTATTTTTAAGTGGTCCCAACTGTATAAGCAGATAAAATCTTATATGTTTATTCTTATACAAAAATATCTTCAAGGTAGGGTCCTCCAAAAGTACCCACCTCTAACATGTCAAGTTGCTCATTATTATCCATCATCCCATGTTTTGGGTTCTTAAAATATTTATATTCCTTGTGTTATTAATTCGTAGCCTTCCGAATTATTATCAGTCCGATGATTAATGATTCACAATTATCGGATAGAGACCCCGGCCCGCTTGGCCGTCTAGTTGTCGTTCTTTATATCACTGGGGTCCATGACCCATCCCTACTATCATAATAATATCATTTTGGTAAACATTAATCATATTTTATAAATAAACTTAGAATATAATGAGTGGTCCCACGTCTAAATTAATAACCCTTTATTAATTTGAGACATATTTTACTTTCTCATTTATCAAGACTACTCTTAGTCTTGATTTACCTTCTTTATCCCAGTAATTGATGAAAAAATTTCTCACAGTAAAAATTCAGGTCCGGTGTTACAGAGTTGGCCGCTTCTTCATTGGAGTGTTGTTTCTTCTTTCTGTCCTTTGAGCTAGATAATTTATTAAACATTAGTTACAATTGTTATATATTTTCACGTAGGTTATATGATAGCACATATCTGTAATCATTGTAGCTCATATAATATATCCTAAATACTACTTCATTTGACATTAATATGTCCATTAGATGAGTAGCAACATACCTAATATGACAAACTCATATGAGTCTCAACGTGCAAATTGGTCACATCGTGAGGTTATAAGTTTTCTTGAGGTGTGTTCTAAGGAATCATTGCAAATCATTGCAAAAAACAATCGTATAGTAGTGAGGGCTGGAAACTAGTTGTAAAAGAAATGTCCAAAATGAAATTGCCTTACTCTATCAAGCAACTCAAAAACAAATTGAACATGTTAACTCGCCAATATAGCACATGGGACAAGTTAATTCGCATGGAGACTGATATATGGTACAAATACTTTTGCGGCAAATGATAAATGGTGGACTCGAAAGTCAATGGTAAATTGGTCTATACAAATCTATTTTTTTTTTTTGAAATTACATTGTTATTAAATTTCTCTAGTAAAAAAAAATACATTGTTATTAAATTTCTCTCGTAGAAAAATACAATTCTTTATTATTAAATTTCTCTCGTACTTAATAGTTGTATTGTTATTATTTGTGTTGTTTATATGCCGGAAAACAAAGAATTTGCAAAATTTAAAACTGTCGATCTTGATATGAACTTGTGTAACTTGTTTTGGTTGACATTCAGTGGACATGCAGCTAAAGGACAACATGCATGTTCCGCAGCTAACAATTTGGAGGAAGAAGTTGATGTTTACATACTAGAACAAGCAACACAAAATATCCCCGAAGTGAGATAGTTTAGTGAGTCTGATTTCCCATGACTTATTTATATAATGTCAAGGAAACTCGATTCCTATATGATGCTTCATTTGAGCCAATTGAGATGAGATTAGATGCGATTGACAATAGTGGTAAGAGGAAGCACATTGTTGGACCTGAAGAAAGTGCTAATTGTGGTTTTGTGGCTAAGAAGAGAAAGATTAATGATAAAGGTAAATAAAAATAGCAGAAAGTTGCTCAATTGGAATCAGAATTACAAGGGTTTCAAAAAATGTATGAAGGAAGGAATGGATTGTTACAACAACATATTGAGACAGAAAATGAGTTTAGTCTGTCTGAGGTGATGAATGTATTTAGAACCTTACCAGGTGTGGTTGAGGGAGATGATTTTTGGTTCAAAACATCAATGGTTATGAAAGAAAAAGAAAACCGGAAAATGTTCATGCTCCAAACTACACTCGAGTATGAGCTGAAATGTGTGAAAATGCTTGTGAAAGCACATGTGCTAATTACTTAGTAATCTCTAATGTATCACTTTATTGAGGATACTAGTTATATGCATTTCTCTTATATTTTTATACAATTTATTTATTGTTGAAGTTAGTAAGTTATCAAGGTATGATTGCATTACGAGATGAAACTATAGAAAATTTGACGCATACTATGAGGCAACATCTTTGGTAGTGTATGACGAATGCATGTGTTCTATTATTTATTTTCTTTGCTTAACATATTTTCGGACATTATAATTTGTCGTGTAATAACGTTAGTAAGTTTTGTATATTTTATGTTTCATTTTATTTTTGAAAGAACTCCAATGAATACTTGTGTGTATTTTGTGTTTCATTTTATTTTAATTTAAATGCATGTGAGCTTGTTAATATGCTTTAGAGAAAGTATATATTTTTGAATTAATTTACTCACATTAGTCTCAAAAAACAATACTAATGTCGCTCATTCAAAAATACACATTTTTTAAAAAGTAGTTGTATAAAACAAAATGAACTTCGACACAAGAGTAAGGATGAAATTTTCAAAGTAATCAATTAATTAAGTAGTCTTACAATTACCTAATCAAACAAAAAAAGTTTACTACTAAAGTGCGCACCATATATTTAACACAAATAAGGAAATAGTCTAATGATAATTTTACATTCAATCAGCCATATCAGCTAACATATTACCAAACATTTTTACTTCATCAAATTCAGCCTATTCAATTGTTCCAGTTGTTTCCAAACAGTCCCTTAATTATGCTGAGTTGCATGATGTTTATTGTGCTGTCGGGTCGAGAGTATGATGTACGCACTGATTGTCTAAGATGAGCAACATAGTTACGAACAATGAATATAAATACACAATCATTATGATAAAATAGTATGGGTAATGAATTTTGTAATTAAGTATTTTTAAAAGGAAAATTTATCAAAAAGGGAAAATCAAGCAAACTTTTAATGCATTTAAAAAATAAAGTATAGAAAATTTTAAAATGCACACATAGTTCTACACAAAAAATTACATAAAAAAAGAGAAAAAATTACAAAAATTAGATATGGTACCATGTGACCTGTGAGTAAAATTAAAACGTTCACGCTGGGACTCGAACCCAGAATCTCCCGCTCCGGAGGCGAGCGCCTTATCCATTAGGCCACGCGAACATGTATTGTTAGGAGATAGCTTTTTTGTAGAATTCAATAGCACGTTTTGGGGGCGCAATTAAAAATTTCAGGTATAAACCCTTCGAAGAAGAGACCGGCAGGCGCAGTGTCCCGACTCTGGGAATTGGTTGAAACTCAGAAAGATATGGCCTTCACTATATCCCCATCTCAAATTTTTCCAAGGAAACCCTTTCAGAGAGTCTCAACTCCGCCCCCAATCTTATCCCCTTCGTCTTTCAGGTAACTATTATTCTCCCCCAAATTTACTCTAGTCTGCGTACTCAAAGACTATTTCATTTTCACAACAATGCCTTTTTATCAACCAGTCACTTGTATTCTCAAGAGTTGGGAAGTCTATCATATTCTGTTGTGTGGCTTTCTGGATGGATTTCGTGATAGTTGAAGGAGGCCGCAAAAAAGATAGTTAAAGAATTTTTCTATTTTTCTTTGTTGGTTGGGTGAGGAAGTTGTATTCTTGTGAAAAATGGAATGGCATGACCAAAAGTGTAAAATAAATCGATGGACTGAATCACAGCTTTTACTGCACAGGGACTTAGGCAGTTAGGTGGTATTCTCGCAGCAATGGTAGTGCTAATGTTCAAATTTACTATCCTGTGAGGACATTGGTATTTCCAAATGTCTGTAGTGACAATGCCCAAGAAGTAGATTTTCTTTCAGTTAAGTTTTATTCCAGTAATATTATAGGAAAAACCGAAAAAATCCCATTTTGGATATGGTGTTTTTTATTTGTTACTACTATAATAATAAATCAAGATAATTTGATTATTTTTGTTATTAGGTTCCCCGTAAAGGTCTTAGCAAATAGAGTGGTGGTAGTGTGTTCGGCATCCTCTGCAGGAGGAAGCTCGACCTCAAGCAATGACTTAGATCCTTATGAGGTAATAATGTAGAGATAAATGCTTATGGGTTTTTTACATTGTTTTTGTGGTTGTCTTATTATGATTAGTCATCTCTAGGTTTTAGGTGTAAGCCCCATTGCAGGGTTTGAGAAGATAAAGACTGCTTATTCGAGGAAACGCAAAGATGCTGAACGGAATGGCGATGAAGCAACTGCCACCCAAGTATGTCATAATTAATCAAAGAAGGGAGTTTTTGTCAAGTAATATGTTGAACCTTTATTAGCATGAGTAAGGCTGCAATAACATTCTCTTTTCCAGCTGGAAATGGCATATGACAAGATCATGATGTCTCAACTAACACAGAGAAAGAAGGGTGTTACATTTGGATCATTTAAGGTACCCTTTTCTAGTCACCTAATAGTTAACCTTATGATCCAATGTTAATTTTCTTACGCGAGTTTATATTGAATATTGATGCAATGATTTTCTAGTTGTTAATTCATTCTTCTTGGACCGCTTCTATATGAGAAATTGAGAAGTGAACCATTTATTAGGCCCATTCACAAGCATGATAAGAACAGAAAAATAAACGCAATGGGGTAACCCGTTGCCCAAAATAATCAACGGCTGGATCCGTTGCCCAGAGCTAAACAGCTGAAACCAATATTATTAATGCTTGATTTGAATAAGCCTAGGCAGGGGTTTATATAACCCTTACATCCAAAACTGAATAGGAAACTAAATCCTAGTAAGAAACATAATATGAGTCCTAATTAAACCATTCAAGGAAACTAAATAGAAATAGGAAACCTCTAATTAATAGAAGTCCTAATTACTCCGTAAATCATACTAGGAAACAAAATAAAAGGAATAATTAAAATTAATTAAATTGCTCGCAACCAGCTCACGAAGGTGGGCTCAAGCCCGTCCCGCCCCATGCTCTTCCCGCTTCATATCAAAGCATTTTATTTTTCTATTTACTTTTTAATTCATTCATGATTGATTTTTTTATTACTCAATAATTATTATATGTTTCTGTTGTAATTATTGTGAAGCACAGGTTTCGAAAGAGATAAAGTATGCTGATAAGCAGCCTATTGTATCATGGGGTCCCAGGTATGCTATTCTGTCAAATAGTAAGAACAATGTTAATCATATCAGAATGTTCTTACATGTAAGTCTACATTAACCACAACAACAACATTACCCCAGTGCCGCAAAGGCTCCCCACCTACGGTGGGGTAAGGAGGGTCAGATGTACGCAACCTTACCCTTGTACTAAAGTACAGAGAGTCTGTTTGCGGATCACCCATGATGTAATTGTGCCAAAATTGCATGGACTGACTGCTGCTTCATAACAAAGAAACACATACAGTTTAGTGAGCCATCTTGCTTTATTCCATCATATTCCCAAACCAAAAAATAGTAATTTTTTTTAACTGAATGTCTTTTTTTATTGACCCTCGTGACATTCCTCTAGGGCACCCTATGTTTTTGATTTTTTTTTTTCACATTATTTTTTGACGTGTAACTGATTCTCATCTGAAGATGTCAAAGGTCATTTTAACTTCTTTTTTAATAAGTGTGGTTCCTAGATGCGAGTAAGTACATATCCTTGAAGTAAATGAGATTCTGCACTTATGAAATTTGGTGGTGTGCCATTGTTTCTGGAGAAAAAGTCCTATATTGTGTTGCTTGATTGATACAAGCTAGACCCAATTCCGCTGGTTGAGAATGAGAGTAAACAAGTTGTCCATCCCAAAACTCCAAAAGTATCCGATATTTCCACTTAAGGAAATCATTTTCTGGTTCACTTTTTTCCTTTTCTTAAAAGTATTTTCAGTCAAATTTGGTTGTTTATTTAGGGGTGGAGGTCGAACAAAATAACAGCCACAATTGAATCACTAATAATGTGGGATATGATTTCATGAAGATCCCACTGTGTCTATTGTGCCAGCCATTCAGCCCAAACATCTTCTTCGCTGAATTTCATCACAGGCCATCCAAGATGTCAAGAAATGCTGGTGCCATTATGAAAGGAATCATACAAACCTCTAAAGTCCTACATCATCACAAAGTTTTCTTTTCTTTCATGGTTCTGTATAATTTCTATAAAACCAAATTTCGTTATTCATTGACAAGAGAAGACATTGAATATTGAACATTCCTTCAATTTTCGATTACTACTACACAAAAGAGATATTTTATCTCTCTCTAACTTCTGCAAACCACAAGGTATTAGTGTCATAATTCTTGAATACGTAGTACGTAGTATTACTTAAATTTTTAAAACTATTTTTCGGATTATTTAATAATATATGTTTTTCCATCATTTGCAATGGAGCCAAAGATTCACTGTTTTTTTGGCTTGGGAATATGATGGAATAAAGCAAAATGGCTCACTAAACTGTATGCGCTTCTTTGTTATGAAGTAGCAATCAATTCATGCAATTTTCGACGCGATTTTCACCATGGGTCATCTGGAAACAGTCTCCTTGTGCATTAGTACAGGGGTAAGGCTGTGTACACCCGGGCCCCTTACCCCACCGTAGGTGGGAGCCTTTGCAGCATTGGGGGTAATGATGATGATGAATGATGATGACTTAATAAATATGTCATATGTTATTATGCATGTAACATGTCTTAGATTCTTTTTGTCAATTTTAGCCAAAACTGAACTGGATTTTTTTTTTCGGGAGAAAAAAACTATCTGAATCAAGACTATTATTGGGGATAGAGGAGTAGTTTTATGTATACCATTCTGTAATTCTCTTTTTGATTGGAAGTTGGAACCCTAAACAATACTTCTCAGTTCTCGCTATCAGGTTGACATAAATATCCATATCATTTATTTGTTATTTCCCATCAATGCATGTTTTCCTATCTCTATCTTGCACAAAGAGTTCTGATCTACGTTGAGTAGTTATGTGGTTCCAAGCTCCAATAGCAAATAACACATTGCCATCTAATTTCCTAAATACCAAGATACTCGGTCTGTTCTATGCCGAACCAGCCAGATTTTAATTGGCTCAATCATATACTTTCAGGTTCAGCAAATCAGAACACAGAGATATGCAAATTAATATGGCACTTTCGGCTGTATTTGTAAGTAGTAGAAGTTATGTTTATGTCTATTCTAGATTTGTTTTTTGTTCCGTTGGAGTTTTTGACCTATTTTGTACCAATACTTTGGGGGTTGTATCAAATTGGTACCATCTGTTCAATTTTTATACCATTGGTACTAATACAGTTGAATAAAGTACATGCTGATACCGATTCTTTGATATGTATCTAATTCGTAAAAAATGACAAGGGGTTGCTGTGTGACTGAGAGGTCACGAGTTCAAGTGGCCTCTTGTCAAAATGAAAAGGGAAAACATGTTCCTTATACACCCTTGTGGTGAGGACCTTCCCTGGACCCTCACCTTGTGAGGACGTCTATGTGCACCGGACTGCCCTTTTATCTAATTGGTATCAATTATCAAACTTCTTATAAACTGTACTTTTAGAAACATCCTGCTATCTTGATATTTATTTTTAAAACCACAACTATAGCTATATATAGTTCCTAATAATTAACTATTTATAAAAGTAGAAAGTATGTTCTAACAAAATTAGTTCATTTCTTTTAAATTTAAAATGAATAAATTTAGAAATATCATAATTGTTTTTCTGTGTCCCTTTACCTTTTTATACATCATATGAGGTTTTATTATACTATATTGTTTTAGTGGTGTGGGTCTCAACTCTCAATATTTTAATAAGTCAAGGATGTGCAGTTGTTAGAGTATCGCAATCAATAAACGAGTGAACAGTACAAATTGCAGAATTGAAAGGAAAGAAATCAAGCTCTCATTAATGGTGAACCATACAGAAAAAGTATCCAAGAAAAGAGATAACCATCTCAGTTCTCCCAGCCCAGATTCTAACTGACCAACAGCCTCCTTACTAACTCCCCTTTCCTAGCTATTTATTCTATTCAATCTACCAACAGAATTGACACCTCAGCAACAACTAACTGTTATACTTCTTTCTCCTGCTATAGACCTTCCCATAATGCTTATTATTGTTATTAATACTAACAGTTTCACTCGGGTGTCTATCAGCAGTTCTTAACATCAAGGTGGTAACTGTATTTATGAAATAGTAGAGCTGTAAGTGATACTGTAAAATTTTTTAAAGTCGTATTTTTTAATTGGGATGGTAGATTTGTAAGATTTTATGAAAAGCAAATTTTATTATTTTAATAATTACCAAAAATTGTAAGAAACCTACAGGTTAAAAATCTTAACTTTATACTGTACAAATGTCGCCATAAATAATTTTCTATTATTCACATACGATTTTTATTGTGCAAATCATACATACGATAAGCATTTAACATAATTGAAACACAAAATTACATGTCAAAACAGATTTTTTCATCACTTGCATGAGAGACTTTGCTTTTATCTCTATTGGAATTATATATCTATGGTTCACAGTCAATATCTAATGATTTTTTAAGCATTTCACTGAAAAAGCTTCTTCATGATTTTCTTATGATTTTCCCTGATTTTTATGCGAATGTGGATGATCCGAATACAATTCTTTATGATGTAAACATCATTTGACAACCTTGAATATCATGCTAAACCTCATAAAGTTCGTTTGGATTTAGTATATCAGTAATCCTTGTTCTTATTTTCTTTCAACAGACAGCTTGGGTTTTTATCAAACGCAATGCCGAATGGAAGCCCTTGCAATTCTTGGCTTTTGTGTTTGTGTACAGGATTTTTGAAAAATTAAAAGCTTTGGAGCCTCCTCCGTCTCTTGCATTTACAGTAAGTGTTGTTTTTAACTTTTTATTTTGAAATAAATACTACCTTCGTCCCTAATAAAACTTTCAAATAGGTTGGGCACACAGTTTAAGATAGTGGGTATTATGTGGTGGAGAGTTGTGCAGAGGAGAGAGAAATATGTAAGAAATGTTGTGAACCACAAATTCTTTACCAAAAAGGGAAAGTGGAAGTTTTAATTCGGACGGACGAAAAAGGAAAGTTGGAAGTTTATTTAGGGACGGAAGGAGTATATGTGATGATATGTTGAGCACCGAGTTTTGGATGGAGGGTTTTGGAGGGGATAGCATTGGGTGGCTTAGTTTATATTTTGTGTGGTATAATCATGCAGGAAGAAGCGGATAACGGGCGAATGTTAAGGATGGGTAAAAGGCTTCTGCGTTCCCTTGGACTGGCATTTGGCTGCATTGCTGTTTCTTCTTTGGTATTCTAGCCGACATTCTTTTACCAAATTGACCCACCCTAAGGACTTGTTCACTTGGACAGACTTAAATATAACAGACCGAACCAGATTTAGATAACACATATAAGAAGACCAGATTGTTACAAAATTAGCCATCCGGGACCAGTAAAATTCAGTCCAAATGAACAGGTCCTAAATTATACGTAGTAATTGATTATCAAAACATCCTTCATCACTTTATTTTACTATCAATTTTAGGGATACACGGGCATCCTAAATCTGATTGAATTCACGGGCCGTTTTATTCCTGCTATTATTTACAACAACCAGGTATTTCAAAAAGGGCACCCTTCAATGCTCTCTACAATATTATGTTTTGAAAACACGAGGGTCTTTTAGTCATTTCCTTCCTCACCTAACTTAGGCATGTAATATATTTGTGCTTTGCAGGAAGTGATTGTAACAACTGCAACAGCCATCTTGCTTTACATTACTGCATCATATTACAGATGATGATGAAATATTGTAGAGTTTGAAGTAAATGATACACTATGGTCTTTTAGGAGATTGTGATTGTGAATTGTGATAATCATATTTGAGATGATTGATCTCTTTTTTCAACTTTCAACCCTTCTTATGTTTTGTAGTGGAAATATAATTCATTTTTTTCTAGACGTTTGCGCTTTGAATGTTTGAAGTGACAATGGGATGATGAAAAGCAGTCAAAAGCAACCCCACTATTTCACAATGAGCATATTTGGTTGAATGGAGAATTTGTTCTTTTCCTTGATTAATAGCAATAACAAAATGTTCTTTTGTGTAGTTGATAAGGACATTCTCTTTGATTTTCATTTTTCTAGGGGCAGATTTAAGGGTGTGCATTATTGACTAACATTGAGTCCGGTCATAGCAGCATGTAGCTGTTAAAGGTGTACACGGTTCTGGAACCGGATTAGAACTAGAACCAGTTAACTTAGTTTTTAGAAGGAACTAGAAATAGAACTGAGGAACTGAAACCATGAATAGGTTGGAATTAAACTGGTACTGGCTCTGGATATATGGACTGGAACTTGCGGTTGTGGTTTATTTTATATACATAGTATAACAGTGACTACTTTGTTTTTATGTATACCAGTACATTGTTTTATTTATAATAGACAAAAGTTTATAAAAGTATCATTCGGTTGGTCAAGTTTAGACTTAAATCTAAGGGTGTTGATGATTATTTTGTACTCCAACGGCCACTTAGGGTTGGTTTGCAACTCCTTTTAAAAAGCACTTCTCAACTTTTGGCTTTGAAAAAACACTTATTTTCCCAAACACTACAACTTTTATTTTTCTCGGCTTTCGCGTCAAAAGTGCTTTTACTTTTTCCATTACACAAAAAGCACTTATTTTACCAAACGCTACCTACTTTTACTTTTCAAAATCATTTTTTTCTCAAACATTATAAACTTTTATTTAATCACTTCTCTCCATTTCACTAAAAAAACACTTTTTTAAAAGCAGAAGTTGTTGCAAACAGATCCTTAAACTTAAAAGTATGTGGTTTATTTCCAGATAAATTGGGGTTTGTGCCTTTGTGGTATTGCGCGTTCATTTGAAAATGAAGCGATAACAACGCATTACCACAAATTCCAATTTGTATGACACTAAATCAGATCTTTGAGTAATTGAGTTTAAATGCGTCCAATCACAATGACTTTTATGAACTTTTCCTTTTATAAGGTAGTGAATATGAATGAATTTGTTGTATACAATAATTCAATAAGCGCATATTGAATGAATGGTTGGACACCACTACACCAGTGTATTTTAGTATGTATTGTAGTATATGTGTATTTTCAATAAGCGCATATTGTCAAGTTTACGATTTTTTATGACTTTTTATTGTCATGTCACTTCCACATAAGATTATCTCAAATAATCTTCAAACCTATCAATTTCTCCTCATTCATGATCTTAATTTACCTAGATTTTTTATAAGACATGCACTCAATTTCAAAATCTCTACAAAGCTAGTCATCCCCTCAATTATGAGTATGTGCCTAGAAAATGGAGAGATGAGTCTAAAAGTTGAAAATAATCCTAAAATAATTTAGCTTTAGAATTTGATAACAGATTATTTTATCAAATAATCTCATAAAATAATCTCAATCCATCATCCATGATTTCAAAAAAATCCTCCACATCATCAAAATGATCCCAAAAATAATCTATGGATGGGGATGGCCTTGTACACACTTTTATACCCACTGTGAACCGTCTATGAAAAAACTTTTTTTTAATATGTGAATCTCGTTCGCAGACAAACAAGACTGGGATTCACAGACAAAAAAAATCCTTTTGACATACGGTGGATATAAGAGTGTGTATAAGTGTGTACAAATAGAATTTTTATGTGTATATAGTATATACAGAGTATAAAAAAGTGAGATGCACAAAATTGATGAGTGAGGGAAAAAACAAGAAATCAGTATATTATTAATTGTGGTACCTAGTGATTATAAGGTCTTTGAAAAACAGAGATTTGGTCCTCTTTTAAATTAAAAGGTCTCTTCTGTACAAGATTCACATCCGGCTTGAGCTAGTTCCCCAAATCATCCGGTTTATCACTCAGCTCAGAAATCGTGGCCAGTCCTATTTTGAGGGAAAAAGACGATTTGGAGATATCACGATTTCTGTGGAAATTAACAGAGCTGACTACTATGTGAAAATGGCTAAACACAAGGGGGGATCCATTCAAATACCAATGGGACCCAATAATTCAAGCCTAATAAAATTCCGTAATATTTTTGCTAATTTTGTAGGGCTTTCAAAGTCAGTGCAGGACGATTCAATCTTCTTCAACATAGGAGCAAATTAGAATCCAAGGACCCCACTTCCATCTCTAAACTGATTTTAAATAAACAAATCCAGGCGATAGGTATCGATAATGAACACGTCTTCTAATCTGGGAAACAACTCCAGTTCCCACCAAACCGGGCTTACTCATGTGCCTCTAACGATTTTCATTCGGACGACTTCATCTTTACATATGACTTCTTGGGAATGCTACTGAAAGCAATCGTCGTCCTCCTATTTCATACCCAGAAGAAATTAGGAAGTGCAAATTCAATAAGGAAATATGCCGCAAAGCCAATTTCATAACCATAGAAAACTGTCTGCCAAATGAAAATTTGAACACGCAGCTGAAAATTTACAGAAAAACTCAGAAGAACAAAAGGTGGCGTAGTATGAGAACAAGGTCTCAATCCAAAGACTACCATTGGGATTAGTTATTTTTTAGTTTCCTCTGTTTTTCCTTTTGTATTGCTTTTCATTTTTTTTTCTTTTCTCTTTATCGCATTGTACTGTTTTCCCTGTTATTAATAAAATTTCCTTTTTTCCAAAAAAAATAAAATCTACAAAGCATGGAAACTCTCGTCTCTTAGGGAAGAGTGTGTTTCTATTTCAGTAATTTTATGAAAACTCTTTGAAAATTCTACAAATAGTTATTACTCTATTAAAAGATGACATTTTCTGTTCCCGTTTGGCCATTTCACCATGATTCTCACGTAATACGTATAGTGATGGAAGATTTACGAACAATTAAACTAACAACGATTTTAAAATTTTCGCTGCATTAACTTCACGTAGTCCAAATTATCACAATTTTGCTCCGTGTGTAATTTTATATTCATCTTATTCACCTAATAATATTTTCCTATATGCATTCCAACTTTTAACTAGTTACATTCTATAAATGGACATTCTCATTAAATGTTCTTCACTTTTATATACAATATGAAAAAATGACTTTATATCATATGCGATGTCCACATAACATATGAAATAATTATATGTTTTGACTAAAATAAGGATTATTTACAAAAATGTGAGCACTGACAAGAGCGGTGATGGATAACATATAAAACTTATATTTACTTTTCAAACTCAAGTTATCATGACACTACATTGTAGTAACATTAGTCCTATTTGTATAAATAAATTTTATTTTAGTAATATTTTTGAAAATCCCCATAACATATATATGAGCTTAATATAAATGTTTGTTGAAACAAGAGGAAAATGAAAAATATACTAGGTTGTATATCAATGACTAACGAGTGCATTATAGAAGTACTCCGTATATGATAGCTTCATTAGCTTGTATCACATACCCATTGAGATTTCTATAAAGAAATTCATCTATGTTAATGATTTTAACTCATCTATATTGTTATCATGGGCTGTTTATACTAGTACTAGTAATAATTGTAGAGAAAAATAAATGACTACAAACGTAATACGGAGTATTATTCTAATAATAATTGGGTGTATGTGGTGTCGTGGTGAATGGTGATAGCACGTGAATGCACCATAAATGCTACTAGTATTAAAGTATTAGTATAAGAATATTATTAAAATAAAACTTATTAACATAATTATGACTATTCGTTACTATAACGTGGTGATGTAGTAACTTAAGTTCAAAACTTGAACATGAATTACTATGATTTCATTATTACTCTAGTAACTAATCATGTTTTTGTAAATCATCTTTATTTTGGTCATATTTATGTAATTATTTCTTAAAGGTTTCAAATCACTATTCACATGGTCAACTTATATCATTTTTAATCTTTTGTTTTATATATCAAATTTTTATTAAATTTAAATTTTCTTGATAGGCTTTGTGAAACTTTTAATGTAGTTTTTGAATATATAAATTTTATTTTACTAAAAATAATCAGTGTATGTAAACAGGAATCGGGTTCCTTTATTATCAGTCAATCATCGTAAACCGAATCGGGAACCTCTCTATGGGACGGAGAGAGTATGTGGCAAATTCGAGTCACAAATTCGAGTTTCATTCTAATAAAAAATGTCGACATTAACAGAAGCAGATACTATAATAGATTTAGAATGATATGCAAAAAAAATTAAAGTTACTTTTCTAATCAAATTAGTTAAACCATTTCATATATATATATATATATATATATATATATATATATATATATATATATACACATACATATATATTCATATAATTCTTTATTAGTCTTTTTAATACTCTGTTCCGGCTTAAATTTATCATTGGCAAATGAAATGAATATTTAGATAATAATTAAATGAGATTGTTCTGGTGTATTTGAAAAGTAAATTTGATGAATATATAATATAATGAGATGTTTCATTATATTATGATATTATAAGAGCATCTCCAATGACTAGCTATACATGGTGCAGCTTTGCTTGTCACATCAGTCTTTTCTGGCTAATACATTTTCCAACAATGTGATGTTCCAATGGTTAGCTACAATGTTTCCTTCTTGGGTAGACCCAACAAATGACCAATCAATCAATTTTTTAAAATACACTTTTTGAACGAATTGAATTATGAATTCAATAAAAATAATACTTATTCTTAAATACTACTCATATTAAATTGGGAAAATGTTGATAATATTTTTAAACCCATCAATTGTCAGTGCTAGGGATAATATGAAAATGCATATTTTTAAAATTAATATAAAAAAAGTATTTTTGTAAGTTAAAAAATTTTGAAATAGGAAACTTTAACAACACATACATACTGAAAAATACCAACTTTACATACTTTATGAGAAAATTAAAGATTTCTAAAAATTAACAAATCAAAAACATTAAATAAAATAAATATAATTAATTAAACGATATCAATTTAAAAGAAATAAAACCACTTTTGGGGCTTGCCCATTGTATTGCAGTACTTTACTTTAGTGTTAGATTTTTAATTAATTTAGTATTCCGATCTCTACGTCTTATT